GCAAACTTGCTCAGGGCGCACTCAATTCCATAAGCTTAACTCTTCTTAATTGAATCTCATACAGGAGCTAACTGATATGAATATCTGCATAGCTACCTCAATTCAATTGTGAAAGGAGCATGGTCTAAATGTTAGATGAAGGCCGAGAACTGACGTAATCCTGAGTTCTGTTCTCAAATGTGGCAAAGCAATGGTGATATAATCCGTCTGTTTTGCAATTCAGAAAAATTATAATTACAATATTTGTCTCATGAGGTATGCAGTAATTGCTGGCTGTGATATTAGAAATGACCAGTGAATTTTGGACTGTTCTCATTTGAGCTGCCGAATATGCTAAGCTTTAAGGTATCTCAAGTTACATATCTAAGAATTCCTCTAAAATATGAACCACAGGCTTAACAGTACACTGAGACATACAAGCACTTCCTATTTATTTCATTTGTGAGCATTAATGCCAAAAAAATGGCAGCTTTCCAAAGTAATGAAGTACTGTTTCCTAAATATGAAGTAATACATATTTCCTTTCCCAAGTATTAAAATCCCACCCTAGTTGTCATCTCAGTGGCATTGACAAAGCGCATGGAAAAAACAGTGTAGCTTGCTGTTAAGAGGCTACACAGTAAAGGTCAAAACCCATATTCTTCGTCTTGTATTCCTTTTAGTTTATTACATTTTTGGCCCATCTAATTGTTCTTACAGAAATGTGCAGAAACAGCTTTAAGTGAACAAAAGCATTGACCCATTATGGCAGCCAGGTTATATTTTCAAAGCTCATTTCCAAATATAGAGGTTACCAAGTTGTGGGTTTGGATATTTTTTTTTCCCTTTTGGTGTCAGTATCCTTTTCTCTTCTAAACTGCCAAGGCAGAACAGAGTTTTGACAGTTCACTTTTTTTCCCCCCCAGAAGAGCAAGGTATTATCCTCTTTCCCTCTTCTTTTTTTTTTTTTTTCATCCACACATTTAGGTCTCTTGTAAAAATTGATATCCTGTGTTTTAACATGTCTGTGCCAAGACCACCAGCTTGTCCTTCCTAAGCTGGGAACTTAAAATAACTTCTTTCAGCATACAAGCACATGTGCAGGTCTGGTGCGAACCTGGGCCCATTTATCTGTTTATATAAACATTGTAAGGAGCGAGGAGGATTACCCAGCTCATTTTGCAGTTGAAGCATGTGAAAATGTTGAGTAATTTTGCCTCAGGTCCAAACAAATGGCCAAACAAGATTTAGACTTTGACACCAACTGGGCTTCATCTGCCTGCCCTCCATAGCATCCAGTGCCTTTGCACTGATGATGTTTTATCACTCATAATAAGTCTTTGTTCTGGAGATTGCCTTGGCTTCACTTTCCTTCCCAGGTGGAACTGATGTTCCCTTTTACCCTGTATTTAGATATTCAGACCAGAAAAAGATTACATGGGACACATCAGCTGACTGTTCCTACTGTTGTGTCTTGAGGCAGAGGAAACTCCTGTCTTAAAACAGGATTTTCTGCTCCTGGCACTTGCTCCTTTCCTTGCACGAATTGCAGTGTAATGAGGCCACTCTGATTTGGATTCCTCTGGAGAGTGTTTGCTTTCTGGGAAGGGAGTGTGTGATGGAGAGCATTGTTTAATTGGCATTGCATAAATACCTACCAGCCAGAACCATTTTCATCTTGTTGGCAGTAATGAAATAATGACAGAAGGAAGTCCACAGGCTTCTTGTTCAAGGTAGTAGAGGAGGAATATACCAGTACCAAGACTGGAGGATGTAAATATAAGTAGTATATAAATATCCTTTCTATTTTTGGAGAGTTTGATGCATGGTGTGGGGGGGTAACTTCTTATCTCAAGTTAGTCCTTGGATAGAACATGGGCCTTTGACTGTTTCACACTACAAAATTAGAGCAATGATGGATTAGCAAGAAAATTGAATTCCAGTGTCCAGAAGCACACAGTAAGGCTTCTTTCTAGGCTCTGTCCACTTTGTAAAATACATAAATAAATGCAGAGGCAGATAACCAGAACACCTCGGATGAGTTCATGTTTGCTATAGAAAGAAAAAAATAATACCCATTAGGCCATATCAAAATGAACAATAAAAATATTTTGGTGGCATGGCAGTTTAAGTGACTGAGATGTTACTTTCCATTTTGAGGGAACGACAGCTGTGAGGATGGTGGCTGGCCAGGTCAGCAGTATCTTCAGGAACAAGATTGGTTTAGATATGAGTTGTTTGGGACACTCAGTTTGCGTTTTAATATCTCTGTGCAAATCTGCCAGCAATGTGTAAAATCGCTTTGCATTGATGTCTATAAACTCCACTTCAGCATCTGTACTTGAAACTAATTAAACTAAATTTTTGATGGATTCTGAATTTATATGCAATATATATTTTAAAAACACATTTACTTACTGATAAGTATGCCTTGAAAAAATGAGTAAAGTTATGTTTCCTTTTTCCCCGTCTGTGTGACAGCGATGTGAATCCAAAAAAGCACAACAAGCTTTCTTCTTCTATTTCTGCAGGCTATGAAATCACCAGAATTAAAAGAACGATTGGAGGAATCAGAAAAGTTGATTCAGGAAATGACTGTGACCTGGGAAGAAAAATTAAGAAAAACTGAGGAGATAGCACAGGTTTGCTGCTTTCTTTTCCCCTCCTTTTTTTTTTTTTTTTTTTGAATGAAAAATAGGTTTGTTTCCTTTGTCTGTCAGTTTATAGAGATTGTCTGAATCTCTACCCACATTTAGGGTAAGTAGATCAAGCTTACTGCACTGTTGAAAAGCTGCACTTAATTCCTGTGATAGCTGGCTGTCTCCCAGATTACTATTCCAGTGACAATAATAAATTTTCACTGTATTCAAATGGAGAAGTTATTTTTAAAAAGTAATAATCCATGGATGAGAGGATTACAGGGGGTTTATGCTCTTCAGACAGTAAAATCGTTGTTTGTGGTGAAAGATGGGGCATTGAGAGTGTTAAATGCAAGGTTATGTACGCAGAGCCTCAATACACAAGGCAAAGGGCATTCAGAATGTTGAAAAATAGCACTCTTCAGAATCCCTGTGTGTTTTAAGACCTCTTACGCTGATATTTAGGGCCTTAGACCATAATTGAATATGATGGTTACGTTGAAAAGTCGTGCAGGTCACCGTGATTATTGCATGACACACAAATGCTGATGTACGTATTTGCACTAGGGAGCTTTTAAGGGGGAGGACTATTGAAAGGTGATGAATAGCATGTAATAAATAAGAAGAAAGTGGAGCCTCTGATACAAAGCCCTCTTGTAGATGACACAATTAGAATAGACTGTGTTGATTTTGGTTTTAAAGATCCATTGTAAGAAGTGCTGCTGTGACTACGAGGGCTTCCTGGCTTTCAATGCAGATTAGTACCATGGATTTTCCTCCCTGTGTATAAGGGTGGAAAAAACTAAAAAATAACAGTAAGATTTCTCCTTTCATCCTACACAATAGTTTCGAGGCATACAAATCCTGAGCGTGCGGGGAGGTTGAAAAACTAGTGATGGGCTCAATGCCACAGACTAAATCTACCTTGATGTTTGCACATTCGCTTTAGCTCTCCTCCTCTGTCTCTAAATTCACAGTCTGTTATGATGTTTCAGAGCTGAGAGTCTATTGAACAGACTGCTCCAGTGTGGGTCCTTTCCACCTGGTGCAGTCCTTCAGGAACAGGCTGCAACAGCGTGGGTCTCCCACAGGGTCACAAGTCCTGCCAGGAAACCTGCTCCAGCCTGGGCTTCTCTCTCAGTGGTCCTGCCAGGATCCTGCTCCAGCTGGGGCTTCCCATGGGGTCACAGCCTCCTTGGGGCAACCCCTGCTCTGACATGGGGTCCTCCATGGGCTGCAGGGGGTATCTGCACCACCATGGACCTCCATGGGCTGTGGGAGCACAGCCTGTTTCACCATGGGCTGCACCGTGGGCTGCAGGGGAATCCCTGCTCCAGTGCCTGGAGCACCTCCTCCCATTCCTTCTTCACTGGCCTTGGGGTCTGCAGGGCTGCTCCTCTCACATGTTCTCATGCCTCTCTCCAGCTGACATTGCTCCTGCCCAGTAATTTTTTACGCTTTTAAAGTACATTATCCCAGAGGCCCTACCACTGTTACTAATGGGCACTAACACACAGCAGGGGTCTGTCATGGAGCTGGCTAGAATTGGCTCTGTCAGACATTGGGGAAGCTTCTAGCAGCTTTTCATTGAAGCCACCTCTGTAGTCCTCCCCTGACTATTAAAACTTGCCATGCAAGCTCAATGCAGTAGGTTTAGACAGGTCCAAGGTTAAAGGCATTTCTATCATGGCTTGTCATGTGACTTTATTTCTGGCCAGCATTCACTAACGTCTGCTTGTCAAATTGTAGTAGGGTAGGCCGGTAGGATAAATAGGTAATCGTAAATCTCTGAGGAAAGGATGATACCTCATAAAGAATGCGGGCCATCAAAGAGGCAGTTTGTAGAGATGCAGTGGCAGTAATGGTTCAAAGCCTTAAAGACTGTGTGAATAGGCAATTTTTTCACATTTTCAGTGAGTATTTGACATACTTTTGATGTAATTTGAATGTTAAAGTTAATTAACATTAGGTCTTGAACAAAAGTTAACAGAAACAGTCTCATTAAGTTAATCCTATGAGATTTTGACCGTAGCCCAAGTCCTCCTTTGGGCAACACATTCTTTATCTCTGTAGATAATAAGGGATTCTGTGATCTTCGGAGCCTGGCACTGATGATCGGAGGAGAGATCTTTGACATCATACTGCAGTTTTTCTTCTGTTCTTTGTTTTTTTAACTCTTTCATGCGCACAACTTCTCCTTATGAGGGCCATTATGTTGGTTTTGTAAGTGTGTGGGGAGAAAGGGTAGAGAAAATCACAAGCAAGTTGTGCTTCCTATTCTTTGCAATTTTACTCTTGATTAGACCTGATATAGCCCCAGTGCTGAGCAGCAAATTATACTTAATAGTATGACATACCTAGTTTTTAAATACAAAGCAAATTGGTAGGTAAAGGTCAGAACCTTAATAAACACTCCAGCGTTATTGCTACATAATTTCTGCTAATTTTAGTTTTATTTTAAGTATTAGTATCCTCCCCTGTTTCTGCTTCCCCTTAGTAACTGTGTAATTTTTATTTTATTTTTTTTATGTGGATAGTGAGTCTCATTTCAGTTTCTGTATGATCCTGGGAACAATCCTCAACATTTCTATTGCAATGCTTTTTATAGAAGAATCCTCATCTGTTCTTAAGTCAGAAACGTTTAATGTTCCTCTTTCACTGCTCTAGTCTTCACCCAAACACTTCCCTTTGAAAGATGTACATTTTTGCACAGTAATGCTTTGTTGTTGAATTCTATGAAGTCTATTGACAAGAACAAAACACCATCCAAAACGCT